AGGAGGTGTTCAGACTTTCCTGTGTGTGGCATCCCTGGATGATGCTCCTCTGTGTAGATTAATGTAGATGCAGTCATAGACTCTTCCGTGTAAACGGAGCTGTTGATAAAGGTGGGCTTGTTTTACAAATTGGTTTTTTTCCTTAATACTATAGCAGGGCAGCATTTTCAAAGAAGGTTAGTTAAATCATCCCCCAAAGCCTTTCTACAGTCTAAGAGGGCAAGTGAGGTGGTTTTTAATTCAGCGTCTGTTTTTATGTCCCATGACTTCACGTTTTGTTGTGGTCCGCTTGGGCCTGCTCATCCTCTGCCCTGGGCTGTGGGAGAGCCTTTTCTGCCTCCTCCAGGTTCCCCTTGGGGTTAGCCTGTGCACTCGCCACCCCGCCACCGTGCGGGCTCTTTGGGGTCAGGACTCACACTTTTCTTAACTTGGTGTCCCCAGGGTATGGGGAACGGGGCTGCCCCTTGTATGGAGGTGTGGCGACTGATGAAGGAGAAGAAAGGGCCAAATGCAGTTCCAGAACACTGTTATACACGCTGGTGTTAATGTTTATAATTAAATGAGAAAAGTAAAAGATAGAATCATATTGAGATGTGGAAACACGTTGGTTTAAATTTCATTGTTTTTATGTGTTTGCAAAAATGTCACCTTCGAAAGTCCCCGCAGTGGCCCATCTCTGTCATGGCTCCCAGGCTGCCACGGTCCCTCCTGGCTGGGAGGAAGCTGAGGTTGTAGACATCTGCCCTCGCCCTCCCCACAGTCCGGGGTGCCCTGTGAATTGCCCACCTCCTGGCATCCAGCTGCTTCAAGGCAGCTTGGGCATGGCTTCAGATTTCCCATGGCTCAGATCTCTAAGCCCAGATCTCCCAAGGCCCTGGGGCCTGAGAGCGCCCCTCGCCCAACCCCCACCCCCAGGGCCACAGCCATGGCTGCCATGTCATTAGGCCCCGCCCTCCGTTGATTGGCATCTGGTTCTGCTTCCCTCCTCTGCTTTCACCTGTGTGTTGATCGTTTTTTCCTTTGAATCTTGTTTCTTCCTTTGAACCCTGGGATTGCTTGGAATTGCCGTGTCTGTGTTTTCCTTCCTCATTTGTGATCTTAGCTGAAAAATCTTTCTTTCCATTGGTGTCAGTGCTGTCATCTCTGCTGTCCTATGGAGTGACACATTTTGGGAGGTAAATCCGTCCTCCTTGTTGTGGCTTGCCTGGCTGTGAACATCCCAGTGCTGGTCGATGCGGGCCCCAGCCACGAGGCTTCCCAGGTCGTGCCTCTTTCCACTTTGCTCCCTTCTCGGTCTCCGTCCCTCCTTGCCCCATGGGTGGCAGTGTGCCTGGTGGACAGTGTGTACCTTTGAGTGGGAAGTTCTTGGGTTAAAATCTGTCACGGCTGTTGGACATCTCAGAGTCTTGATTCAGAGACCATTGTCACCCCACAGTGGACTCTGTCTAGTCCTTGGGCCAGGTGGTTTTGTAGATCAACGTCTAACAGATGGAAGCCAGGGAAAACCTGATCTTGCCTGCAGTTCCGTCTGGGCCATACACCCAGGGCCAGGGCTCCTCTGGGTGGTCTTGACCTTCCCAGGCTATCTCCCCAGGGGCCAGACACACCAGCCCGGGAGTATTTTCTGCAGCTTGTCCTGGTCCTGACCCTGCTGTCACAGCCTGGAGTCCAGAGTGGCCTGTGCCACTCTGTGTGCCTTCGCCAAAGTGGGGGATGCTTTCTGTGGCAGGGGATATTTATCTCATTCTAACAATGAAGGTAATTCCAATTCTCCTGGCCGTGTAGAAGACAAATCGCCGCGGGGGCTCTCTGAGTTAAATGCCGTTACTTCATTACCTTGAAGAGTAACAAATGGCCCATTGTGAGAAATGACACCTAGAATAGGCCACTGACATTTCCTCAGATAAAATAACAAGCCAGCTAAACAGACCCAGAGAGCGAGGCCTGCCTGGCTCATGCACCCCTGGCTCTGCCAATCAGAGCTGCAACAGCCCAGCTGCGTCTGTGCCCTCGGGGAGAGGCCTCGGTTCCCTGTTTACTCTTATTATCCCTGAGGAAATGTCTCCGTGCTTGGAAGGCCCTTGAAAGAGGATACGTCGATGGGATGGAGGAAGTCCACTGATTATTGTTGCTGATTCAGTTCCCTGAGATGCAATAAAAATCAGACCTGCTCTAGGCCGGCAGAATGTTGAGCTGATTCTGCCCAGACTGTTTTCCCAGGGAGGAGGTGGGGCCCTGGGGAGACCACTCACACGCCTGTCTACGTGCTTGGCTTTTGCTCGCGTTCCTTCCAGTAGGAAAGGCGTTACAAGAGTGCCGGATTGGAGTCCAGGCAGGCCTGTCCTGCTCACTCCCGCCATTGCCTCACAAAGCACCCTGATCAGCGTGTGGAGGCTTAAGTTTCTGCATCTGTAGACCGGCGGAAATAACACCTCCCACCTCGGGCTGCCGTGGGAAATTGGGAGACAGGGCCTTTTTCCCTGGGAGTCCCTGTGAGGGCTTCATCAGACGGTGTGCTCACATCAACCCGGGCTCCTGGGCCAGCAGAGTTTTAAGGCCAGACACCTTGCCACTTGCTGGAGGGAGAGCCTGCAGCCCTGCAGGGGGCCGGTGGGTGGACAGAGCCACCAGGAGAGTGCCAGTGTCATGGACACACCTGCCTGGGAGGAGGGTCCGGGGACGGAGCCATGGTCAGCCAGCAGCACTTGTCATCCTAGCCCCACATTTGAGGAACGGGGGACTGGGACCTGCCTTCTGGGGTGAAAACACAGGCCAAGAGAGTAAGGGCCTGGGAGCACCCAGTATGCTGTGGACGACGGTGTCCTTCGCACGCCAGGTCCCAGGAGGAACCCATCCATTTCTCCATGCCACTGGGTGACACTGACATGGATGTTTTCAAACTTTAAAGTCACTTGTTTTCCCCTTTAATTCATGAGCATCTTGAGAGCGTCAAGTCTCTCCCTCATGTCTGTGCCTGGTGCCTGGCATACAGGGACGGATCCCACACAGGGGACCTGCTCTGTGTCCACGTTACCCCTCAGTGGAGACAGCCCAGGGTCTACCAGCCGAGGCATGCAGAGACGCGGCGTGGCCTGGCCATAGGGGGGTGGCCTGGCCGTAGGGGGTGCGGCTCTATCGTGAAGAGGAGTGAGGCACTGACACAGGCTGCCACGTGGATGACTGGAGAACATCGTGCTCAGTGAGAAGGAGCCGGTCACAGAGGGGCGCAGAGCCTGATTCCAGCAGCGTGAAATGTCCAGCATAGGCAACTCCATAGAGACAGGCAGGTTCGTGGTTGCCAGGCACGGGGTGGGGAGTGGGGAGCGGCCGCTGAAGGGTCCAGGGTTTCTTTCTGTGAGGACGGAAAGGCTCTGGAACTAGTGGTGATGCTTGTGCAGCCTTGTGACCCTACTGAAGACCACTGCGTCTCACACGCTAAAGAGTGGATTTTATGGCGGTTGAATTATCTCTCAGTTTACAAAACCCAGGACCCAATCAAAGCAATACCCATGGAGTGACTGAGGATCCACCGCCACCACCCCAGAGAGAGGAGTGATGCGCGAACTGGCTGGAATCCGCCCACCCTCTCGTGTTCCCACAGGCCCCACCATATTGGATGTGTCCGGGGCTGTCACCTCCCTGTCCAGGCCCTCGAGCGCCCAGCTGCTCGCTCCTGCTGGAGGGTCAGACACGGAGGCGCTCTTCCCCTTTTATCCTGCTGGTTCTGGGGTGAACCAAGAACCGTGGGAGGTGGCGTGTCACCTCGTCTCTTCCAGTCACACTTCAGTGTGAGTTAGCAATTGTGCAGAGCTTCAGTGTGAGTTAGCCATTGTGCAGGGCTGCGGCTGGGAAGCAGCACGATGAGATAGGACTGTATGCAACACGAATGTGAGGTGGGCCTCTGGGTCCTCGGGGAGCACTTAGGGACCTGGGTTCTGGGACCAGTAGGTGGCACTGCATCTGGCACCCTCCTCCCAGCGCATACCAGGCTGCTCGGCATAGCCACGGTCCTGCCCCTCTTTACCCCACTGTTGTCAGGGCTCAAGGGTGGTGACAGCAGAGTGGTGACAGCTGAAATGAGCGCACACGTTCACAGTGCGCAGGAGAGGGCCTGGCGCATCAGCAGCCCCCGGTCAACACCAGCAGCGTTAACATCCCTATCACGATTGTGATGTTTATCTGCTTAAACCTTTCTAAATGTATTCTGGGCTGAAATGTTTCTTTTCTTAAAGAACATTTTCCTTGCGAAGATGCCATACAAATAAAACTAAAGTGAAAAAAAAATTAAAAATAGGGTAGATAATTTTTAAAACGTTTATGAGTATTTTGCTGGATGACAGCAGTTTTGTAAGGATCTAAAATTAGTTTGTTCAAATATCTAATAAGCCATTTCAATTAGGCATCTGTTTTGCATTTTAAAAACTTTTAGATTATGTTTTCTCATTAGGTTTTTTGTACTTTAAGAAGGAAATTATTTAGAGCACCATTGTCCGTTCTATCTTTGAAGCACATCTGTGTTACAGCTTTCTGGGGTTTTCGATCCTAGCATAGAAGTATTTACCCAGTGTAGTTTGGGAAACTCTAACTTTGGAAAGAGGTTTTTAGAGGAATGATTGCCAAATGAATATGTAAATATATCAGAAGCAGAGTTTTCAAAATCTTCTGAAAAAACTTTCAGATCTGTTAGGATTAAGTAATATATTCTATTTTCTCTCTTATTAGAATGTGAAATGCCTGAGAAGCAATAATTTATAATGTATTAATTATGTTAATTAATTGTAGAGGATTCAGAATATTAATTATCTGCAACTAATTAGGTGTTAAGATTGAGAAGCAGTAAGTGATGAGGTGGAAGGCTGCATGAGTCATTTAGCTAGACTGATGAGAGTGGGTGGGGGAGCTGGATGCGGGCTCAGCTCTCTTCCTCCGTGGGCCTCCTCGTGAGTAAAGGTCCCGTGTGGCTAAGTCTCCTTGTCTTTTGCATGCTCGGCGCCGCCCAGAGGCAGAGGAGGTGGACACGGTGGACGTCTCCGGCGTGCCCGCAGAGGTGCTGCGCAACATTGAAGCCGACACCTACTGGTGCATGAGCAAGCTGCTGGACGGCATTCAGGTGAGCGCCCGCGCCCACAGGGACACAGCCCACGTCCACAGCCCGTGCGGTGAAGAGAGCTTGAGGCCTTGGGCTGCTCCTGAGTCACAGCGTGGCGGTGCAGTCTGTCCTGAAGCCTCACTTTCCTACATCTGGAATAGCACAGACCCCTCCGGGCTGACGAAGTGTGAGACACAGTGTGTGTGCCCCTCATTCTGGGCACGGTCACCGTGCCCTGCTGAGGGCCCGGCAGGAAGGGAGGTGCAGAGTCTCATCCCCTGCTGCCTGCAGACTGTAGCCACCACCACCAAATGGGGCACAGGCTCACGGTAGCTGCGTGTGTGTGGCTGGCTGTGCTAAGAGGGATCCCCCTTAAAGGGCCTCAGATCGGGGGCCGCAGCTCCTGGTCTCTGACACCAGGCCGTGAGCCCTCGTCCTGAAGTATTGGTGGCCAGGGCTCCACGTGCGTGGGGCGCTGCAGCCGTGCCTGCTCCCGGAGAGCAACACGAGCTGGTAGGAGTCCCCTGCACCACAGTGGGGACTCTGCGGGTCTCTGCAGAGACTAACTAGGGTTAGTGGCTGAGATTTTTGTAGAAAAGCCACAGGTCTCCCAGTGACAGGGCCGATCCTGTGGAATGGCGTAGGGGCAGAATTCCACACAGTGCCTGGGAAGGGCCTTGTTGGTAGGCGAGTCAGGAATGAGGACTGGAGCCAGCTGATACTACAGAGGAATGACCGAGGGGGATGGACAGGCCCTGGAGGGAGTGTGGGCGTCTTAGTTTATCTGAGGCTGGCGCATCCTTTCTAGACACCTGCTTCCTGTGAGGTGCTGTGCTCCATACCCGGGAATAGTGGCCAGTAAGGGTGAGGCCTGCTCCGGAAGCTCACTGGGGGCGGAGGGTAGACGGGTAAGTATGGCATGAGGGGACAGAAGGCACTCGACCCCAAAGACCCAAAGGGGGGAAATAGTAGATTTCAGGGGACAGTGAATTTTGCTGACAGAGCAGGCAGGACTTGTCAGGCAGGGGAAGGTCAAAGCCCAGAGCACGGTTTGGGTCGATAATCGTTTTCTGAGGAATGAAATGCCAAGGCCGTCACAGGTGTTCGCATGTAGGTGGCCCTCTGCTGAGAGCTGGGGCCTCCTGGGAGGTTCTGCATGTTCTACCAGCATCCTTGTTATCCCAGCTCAAAGGGGGCCCTCATCTGAGAGAGACAGAGACGGGGTTGTCACTTGTCATCTGCATTGCCTAGCAGGGCTTGACTTTCCTGAGCCATTGCGGTAAAGGTTGCTCCTGATACCCCTAAGTGAAGAGGTCTCAGCTCATCTACTTGATTTGAAATCATCAGAATATGGCTTTTATAGCATGTGGTCTAAGGTTTAGACTCTAGGTTTAGTTTGAATATGTTAGCTGAAAGGTTCTGTTAAGGAAAGATGTGTGGTTTTTGCTGTTACTTTTCATAATGTAGGAATGAAAAAGGAGAAAGTAGAAGTCTGTCGTACAGTTGGAGAATGGAAACCTTGTATCTATTGGCTGGTCCAGACTCCTCGTGACTTACTTTGTTCCTTGTAAAGAAAAATGTGCCCACTAGAGACATATTTTGGCCCAAGCACCAATTTATCATTTCCCCTCCTTTGCTAATATTTTCATACATTTTATTCTTTCTCCTAGACCTTTCGGCTTTTTGCCCTCTTAGAAAAAGGATTGAATCATAATGTAAAACTTTTTAAATTTCAAATGTCACTTCTCTGATGGTGAGTGATGGGACTTGTGCCATTTAAATACAAGATTATCTGGCCTCTATTTGTAAATAAAATCCACTGTACAATGAAATCGATGCTGGCTTTTCATTTTTCACCTGAGATTTGTAGCCTGATGAAATGGTTTATTGGCAGGGCGGATGAGTGTAAGGGATCATGCTTTCCTGGCGTGTGTGTTTATGGCACATCGCCGTCCCGTGGCAGCCGTTTATCTTTCTCTCACCTGCCACGATGGATTCCACGTGATCCTCCCAGGAGCAAGAGTTGAGGGATGTCAGTGCCCACCATCCAGGGGACTTGGCAGCTCAGCTGTGATTCCCGTAGATAAGGCCGCCCGAGCAGAGCTCCTCCTGGGGACTGTTCAGTGTTTACAAACACTGCCGCTGTTTTAAGTTCAGAGAAGTATGAGGCCATGTACTCACTTAAAACCAAGGCAACATGCGGACCGGCGTGTCCGCTCCCGGAGGACCTGGCCGCTTCTGCCTCTTAGCTCCTTTCCCTACTCTTGGTCTTACTATCTGCATTTCATTCTTCCTGGAACTGCTGGAACCATCTTCCTCAAGCACCCTTTTCATCACGTCATCACCCTGATTGAACCCCTTGGGGAAACGCTCTCTTGGTTTTCTGAAGTGCGCGCTCTCAGCCTGGCCTCCGCCAGTCGTTCCCAGTGCTCTTTCACGGGCGTGTTTATTCATCAGCTCTGTGGCAGCCGTCCACGCCATTGCTGCAGAGGCTTCAGTGGAGCCGCTGAACCGGAACCGTGTGCCAGGGGCTCTTCCTCTCCCGGAAGAGGATCTTAAAGGGCCTCTAGCCCCACAGTTTCTGTGATTGGTGGGTAGTCACCATGGGAATGAATGTGAGGAACTAACAGTGTCTCCACCGTGACGGTGCTTCCTGGCGTGGGCATTCCCGGGACAGGTTGGAGCTCGGTTACACCCAGCACACAAGGCTGAGACCAAGAGAGATGAGGCCCATTGCCCAGGTGACATGGCTTGTGTTAAAACCCACGTTGGCTGCTCTATGACCTTTCCTGGCTGAAATACATAGAAGTGAGTTCCATTTGCAGGGGAAGTTCTAGAGGGCAGAAAGCACATCTTTTTTTTTTTTTTTTTTTACCTTTGGATGTCCTGAATAGTCATAACTATGCTTTTGACTCACCTTGGAGCCTCAATTTGAGATTCCATATTCTACTTGTTTTCATTAATTCATCAACCTTGTCATTTTGGCCAGAATGTGTGAAGCACCTGCCCTCTACAGGTGCTCAGAGAGGCGGAAGACTTTGGGGTGTGAATCATTATCACCCCTCTGTCCCCAAGAAGCTCAGAGCCTGGTGGGATGGAGCAGGGGTAGAGGACAGCTGATGGAGGCGAGGGACAGAGTGCTGGGAGAGGAGGCTTTTAGCCCTCAGATAGACGGCAAACTAGGAAAAAGAGCAAACCACTCTTCTCCCGACAAATGCCTGGAAACGTTAGGTAATTGGTCTGTTCTTGCACTGCTTAAAGAAGTACCTGAGACTGGGTAATTTATAGAGAAAGAAGTGTAATTGGCTCACTGTTCCACAAGCTGTACAGGAATCATAGCTGAGGAGGCTTCAGGAAACTTTCAATCATGGCAGAAGGTGAAGGGGAAGCCGATGCGTCTTACGTGGCCGGAGCAGGAGGGAGGGGTTGGGGGAGGTGCCACACACTTTTAAACAACCAGGTCTCCTGATGCAGCGCTAGCAGGGATGGTGCTAACCCATTAGAAACTGCCCCCCCTCCCCACCATGATCCGGTCACCTCCAGCCAGGCCCCGCCTCCAGCACGGGGAATTACAACTGAACATGAGATTTGGGTGGGGACACAGATCCAAACCGTATCCGCGGTATTAAACAAAGATTGTTTAACACACATTGTGGGTCTCCTTAAGAGCAGCAGGGAGGTCCTCCAGGAGTGAACAGCGCTGACTCCACTGGCTGACGCTAGTGAACTGGAGGGAATTGTCAGACCACCTCATGGCTAGGAGTGCAGGCTTTCCTGCCCTGGCAAGGTGCGATCACAGAAGCCAGTCCCGTGCAGGGAGATCAAGAACTGCCCAGAGCAGAGACATGACTTCTGCCGTGGACACGCCCAGGCCTGTGTGCCTTGGACTCTGCATTCCAAACATTATTAAGAGTTCGAAGAGCTTTTGTTTGTGTGGGGTTAATTCTCTTGATAACTGCCATATTAGAAATTCAAATAGAGAAAATTAAAAATACTTAGTAATTTATTTAAAAACAACGAAAAACCCATTATGTATTATTATAAGTAATATTTTTATGGTAAATTACATTTTTCAAAATAAAAATGTTTAGTGAGGAGAAAGACATTGTTTTACATTTTTGCAAATCTCCTTAATGTCTAACTTCATAGGAGAAGAATTCTCATATCTACTTCTACATTCAATTTGTTGTGGTAGGTTTTGTTTTGGCCGAAGAATGTGAAAAAAATCCAGCATTACCTAGATACGTAGTTGGAAAAGGAAGTGTCTTTTTTTTTTTTTTTTTCTGAGATGAAGTCTCGCTTTGTCTCCCAGGCTTGAGGGCAGTGGTGCAATCTCAGCTCACTATAACCTCTGCCTCCCAGGTTCAAGCCATTCTCCTGCCTCAGCCTCCTGAGTAGCTGGAATTACAGGCACACACCACCACACCCGGGTAATTTTTGTATTTTTGTTAGAGACAGGGTTTCACCATGTTGGCCAGACTGGTCTCAAACTCCTGACCTCAAGTGCTCCGCCTGCCTCAGCCTCCCAAAGTGTTGGGATGACAGGTATGAGCCACCACGCGTGGCCAGGAAGTGTTTTAATAGCCTTTTCAGGGAATTTTGGATTCTTTTTTCATTAATACTATACTATTATTCAACAAATGGTAGTTTCTTAAAAAAGGTTAGTTGCAATATGAAATCTGAAACCTGATCAGTGAATGTTTTATACTCAGTTACATTAAAGTTGATGGCCTGTCTTATACTTCGATAGGATCTTTTACCCATATATTGGCTCTGTAGCATCATTCATTGGCGATTTGGAAAATATTGGCTGACTGAGGTGTGCGGATCTTTTAAATGTTGATACGTTTCATCGTATGATCAAATTTGTTAGTTTTTTTTTTTTTTTTTTGAGACGGAGTCTCGCTCTGTCGCCCAGGCTGGAGTGCAGTGGCCAGATCTCAGCTCACTACAAGCTCCGCCTCCCGGGTTTACGCCATTCTCCTGCCTCAGCCTCCCGAGTAGCTGGGACTACAGGCGCC